AGAGAAACACAAATGAACTTCAAAAGCACACGGGAGATGCACAGCACCCGGCGCAAAGCAAGCTGCAAGGCTCCCGCCCTCGGATCTCCCCGCAAGCGGCGCAAGGTCCCAAGTCAGAGAGAAGCCCTTAAGCAAGTTGTATAGATAAGTACGTATACAAGCTCTAAATCACTTCCTTTTTTTCTAATATACCGTCTCCTCCTGCTCCTGGCCTGCAGCCCAAACACCAAGTGAAGCTGCAAAGAGCTCCGGGGTCCCTGCCCCGAGCTGGGGGTTGGAGCCCCACGGCTCCAGCAGGACCGAACGCCGTCAGGCAGCACCGAGCTCGTGCCAGGAGCGAGGCAAGATGCCTAAAGCCTGCTGCTTCGGTTCAAACTTCAGCAATTGCTTCTGTGCTTTACAAGCCCAGCAGCAAAACTTCCCGGCATCTCTTCCTTCTTTACTCCATTTTCCCCATTTCAGGCAAACACCCCGGTTTGAAGGGAAAACATCCGCGGTGTATGTGAACGCTCCAAGTAGCACTTCAGGCTGAGAAATCTAATTAGTGGATTTAGTCTCTCTGCAGCAAAATAAGGCTCTTTAGAGAGCTAAAAACCCTGGCAAACAGCCAAGACTCACTAAAAAATTAATTTGATTTTAACAGGCATGAAGCACTTGTAAAATTAAGAAAATCCTTTCTAAACTCTCTGGCTACTTGATCTTTCTGATCACTCAGTTTAGGGCAAAAGAGGAAAAACCCACAGTGCTCGTGTGCTAATTGAACTCCTGAGCTTTCATCCTTCAAGCAGCCTGGCAGGCTCAGACAGAGCGGATGCCGCCGGTCTCCCCGCATGTCTGGAAGCACACGCGTGACCGTGAGCCTGAGGCTCCCTCGATGAAGCCCATCGCCTTCTCCTGGTTTGTCAAATCAGGGAACGACACCAACAAAGTGCCACATTGACGTTTAATGTGGAGAAGCTTTCAGTCTCCACTGAAAATCCTGGAAAACAGGAGCATCGCCCGGCTCCCCCGTGGGACCAGAGCACACCCCGGAGCAGCCTGGTTGCGGGGACCAGGCTGGTGGTCCCAAGCAGATTGCGGACACGCCCTGGTCCCACGGGGCGCGTTTACCTGTCCAAGGATGGGGACGGAGGTCTGCCCGTCAGCAAACGCTGACACAGAAGCTGTCGGTGCTCCTGAGCAGAGCCCCTGTTCTGCCTGCGAGTCAGGGACACAGCCCCCGGCCGCCGCGGCACCCGGCTCCGGCTCTCCCGGGCTCTCCCCGCCGGGAGGATCCAGCGATCCTCGCCGCAAAGATGACTCTGGCCCTGCTGAGGCAGAGCACACGTTTGCCTCCCTGTGTTTCACCGGGACCCGTGGGATGGGGGTGCACGCTTAAGGCTGCTGCTCGCACACGCAGCACCCGAAGAGAAGCCAAGCGGGTGCTGGCGACG